GAATGTCAGCAAGGATTACTCGAATCTGCTGCTAACTTTACTTACGTACATTTTTCGGATGATTATGAAACACCAATGTATTTAGGAGAACAAAATGAATTTAGTTCAACATTTTGGCTTGAACGTCGATGGATATTTAAAGTTGAAAATGATTTTGAGAATTTAATTTATTCAATTCAACCATATAAGTAAATTAGAAAATAAAAATCTCTATTTTTTTATTTTATTTATATTTTAGAAGAAATTGGTATGAATATCGTTCGGAATCAAACCAATTATCAAGATCTGTTCAATTTGAAATAGTTGATGTATCACCTGAACAATGGCTAGAATCAATCCATATTAGTGATCATATTTATCATGCATTAACTATTACACAAATCTATCATTTACAAATCTCAACGTCAATTTCTCTTGAGAATTTATATAAAATTTTACTTCTATTATCTGAGATTGAAACATTAACATTATTTCGATTATTATTTACTAATTCAACATCTATAACTGATGAAGAACTTCAACCATTATATTTATTATTTCATGAAAAACATTGTCAAAAACTTTCCTTTAGTGATGTTTATCAAATGGCTGATGTTCATTTTTTAATGCTGATTTGTTTTCATGTTAATCATCTTCATCTTCATTGTAATGACTATAATCATATTGAATCATTTGTAGGACTTATATTATCTCATATTCGACCAAGAATAGATAGTAAACTTCGATTATTATCATTTACTATGCTAAATTTTGCCAATGATATGATCGAATTTTTAACTAAAATAATTAAAAAAAATAAATTACTTGATGATTTTATTATTGAACAAGTTAATAATGATGTTTATATAAAATGGACCTGATTCTATTGTTTTATTAGGAGTTTTGTTATTATTGTTATAGAGTAGATATGATTTTTGAATAAATTGTTTATTAGAATAGAAAAAAAATTCATCATTACTAACAGATGTATCAGTTACATAATTCAATTTATCGTTATTCAGTATTTTTTGTTGACGTTCGTAAAGTATTACTACCGAGAATTGAAACAAGTATAATGATTAGATATTATATGTCGATCAGCACAGAGTGGGTGTGTTCAAAAGATTATTTAGCATCATCAACACCCACCCACATTGAATAGAAGCTTCAGCAACGTTTACATCACATTGGTTCTTATCTAAAGTATTTGAGCATCCTAAGCACTAAATACGATTCTTTCAGAAAAAGTCAGCTAATCCAAAAGATGATCGCTAGTTGTTTATATAATATCCGATACAAATTAGCAAAGACAAACCCTTCTACTTGACTTTGTGGAAAAAAAGCCTTCGATCAATTTTGAGTAATTTGTTGATATATAATAATAGTGGATTGAATATTATTTGTTGTTTTACTGGCTGTTAAACGAACACGAGCAGCTCGAGCCGTAGTTCGAATATTTTTCATCATCTATAAACCTAAACCGATTACAAGCAAAGAAATAAATTTTATAGTTGATAGAGAATTTTCGTTGTCTTAAATTTTATGTAACGAAATATTCACATTCATTAACACTTTTGGTTTCTTTTTTTTCTTTGCTCGCACTTATAATCTCACTGACTATATGATGACCGCTATTCATCAGTATAGAATTTGCAATGCAACAGGGACACTAACTGTCGGTCAGAAAGTCATTGCATTTACACACATAGCATTTATTAACCTTTGCATACGTGACCGGTTAAATGATACATATAGGTCATGTCCTGGAAAATCATTGCATCCATATTCATATATAAAGCGAGAGTTAGTTGCTGCATTAGAATTATTCTTTTCTAAACATACTTGTGTTTATATTTATACAAAATCAACAAATACAGATTCAAATTTAGAAATAATGGCAACAGACACATCTGATGATGAACAAAATCAACCAACTACTAGTAATCTTCTATCAACGTTATCATCAAATAACATTGAGAATTTACTTGTTCTTTATAGAATCGAAAATTAAACATCGACGTCGTAGAACAACATTCGTGGTGTATCAACTAGTTGAATTAGAAATGGCATTTTCTTATTGCAGGTAAAAGAAAAATATTTTTTCTATTTATCTACCAATACATATATGTAGGTGTCCCACAAATCGTGAACGTTGTGAACTTGCTCGTAGACTTGATTTAACGGAACGACTAGTTAGAGTAAGAGAAAGTGTATTTTGTTTTGTATGCTAATATATTAGTTTCGTTTATTTAGATTTGGTTTTTCAATCGGTATGTTTAAATTACGAGTTCTTTTCGCATTTTGTTCAGTTATACTTATGAATCTTTTTACTTTAGTCGACAGAAATGGTTGAAAGATAACATAATAGGATATTTTAATGCAAATCCAATAAATCCCAATCGTTATTATCCGCAAGATGCTGCATGATGGTTGTCATTAACAAATGTTCAAATACAATTAATTGATGCACGTATATCTAATCATTAGTCGATAGTTGTACAATGTATACTATTTCATTATGTTCCTTAGAAATTAATTGTTGATTATATAGTTTATTCAAAATAAAATATGATTTATCTATCGTTGTTGTTTGACCAACCTTTTTACGACGATAAATCACAACAACAATGTTCCTTTTTAATCTTTTGAGGGTAAAAACGTCATTTGAATAAACATTATAATTATAACAGGAAACCAAAATGCCATATAGAATGATGAAACAATCTATATTTGAAAAATCGTTTTACGATGACGTCGTAAATGAGCAATTTGTTGTTGAATTCTCTTTTGATAAATAACTCGAATAATTAAGAATAAATTGATAATAAATATAATCATTATCGGTACAATAGAAGATTAAATTTAAAATTTTTCTTCATAATAACATAGAAAATCACAATTAACTAGATTGAAATCCTATTGAGTTGTACATAATGGACTAATAACAACAAATACAAAGAAAAATATCGGTACCCAAAGTAAACAAAATAGAATAGATAGAAGATGAAATAATGATTTTTTCATTGATTTTCAAATATTGTGTGTGAATGAAAAATAATCATAAATCTTTCAATTAAAATCCATCTTGAGGGGTGGGTGTG